TTTTTTCCCTCCCCCACCTCTGACATTTGCTTTTCTCTCGACCCCCATTATCTGAAAGAAAAGGACATCCTAAACTGCTTGGATTTTCAGTTTATAGTGCCTGGTACTGTCCAATCTATAAGAATCCCTCAAGTATAAATATATTTTCTTATTACATCCACTTGAATCACTTCCTACATAGGGCACATACATTTAAGCATTTTTTTTAAAGCAGGATAATCAAACTTCTTGAGGAAACCTGCTAAGGCATAGGGCCTGATACAAAAAATCTAGCAGGAAAGCTCTTCTCACACACACACACACACACACACACACACACACACACACACACACACACACGCACTCTCTCTCACAGACACACAAACACAAAAACCTTTACAAATAATGCATCATTTGGGCAATAAATAAGTCAAGGTCTTGATAATATGGATCTGAAAAAAAAAGAGAATTCAATCATACTACCAACACTATAGTGAAGATTAAATTTCAGCACTTTTATGCAAGTCTTTGTACAAAAGGTCTTTGAAGAGACTTAAGAGCTTCTCTTGTTTCCAGGTCTTAAAAAAAAGGTACTGCAATTAAAACTAAATATACTAGAATGCATAAAAGGAACACTGGCACACGAGTAGCCCCCATTGCTGCCTAAAAAGACGAAATGACACCAAAACCCAGTAGTTCTATTATTTCGGAGGGGGAAATTATTGCTTTGCATTGAATGAAAAAATTGCTTGTTTTGGACTAGCAGGCACAAGTCCCTCTCTTCCAGCTGCACATTCCGGAATGGGGACTCCCTTACCTCCAAGCAATCACTATGATCAAAGGTTTATTTATTTCCCAGCCCTTCCATTTGCTAACCCCTCCTCTCCAGTGCTGCAAAAACTAAGATACAGCTTGCATTTTTTTTTTTTTTAAGAAAGAAACATTTGGAAGTGAAGATAGGTTTTGCTAGTCAAGGGCAACTGTTAGCTCTTAAAAAAAAAAAAGGAAAAAAAAACAAAAGAAGCTACCCCCCTTCCCAAAGCTTTCCCCCAAGAAAATACTGCTTCTTAGCAAATTGCAGGTTTTCAAGCAAACACAAATGAGTCTCAGAAAATGTATCCTACGCTTCTCACTCAGTGACATTGTGTCGCGCGTGGTTATAAAATGTCTAATTTATCACTGGCTGGAGGAATCCGGACCTTCTAAACCAGAGCTTCCCTCTCTGCCCTGGGGCAGCCAACTCCTCTGGGTCATCCCCACGGTGGCCTTTTTAAGCTTGACCACACAAACTGGGCATCATTTCCTGGGCGGGGGGTGGGGGGAAGCTACAGCTCTGCAACTGTTACACCTCACAGCTGATCAGGGGGCTGGGGGGGGGGGGGGGAAGGAGAGATCTCTGGACAGGCTTCTTCGTCCTGGAGGCTGGAGAGGATGATTTTAGACATGGCTCGGTGGGAAACATGGGCAAGACAAAGCAAGAGCTGCTTTGGTGAGAGAGAGAGAGAGAGAGAGAGAGAGAGAGAGAGAGAGAGAGAGAGAGAGAGAGAGAGAGAGAGAGAGAGAGAGAAAATCAGCTTGCCAGTTTCATCTGCAAAGAATTCTGTCCGGCCGCCCCTCCCCCTCGCTTTCAACGCGCAAGACAAAGGGCGTTTATTTAACTGGTAAACTCAGAAAATTCCTAGAAAGCAAGTCGAGCTGACGCCATCATTTCAGGGTCAGGACCCCACAAACTTGGCCAGGAGAACCCAGAATTCTTCAGGAGGCAAGCAGGGCCTTTCATAAGGTTGCTCTGCCAGACCTTGATGGTGCAGCGTTTACATCCTGTAAGGAAGGAATCCTTCCCCAAATCTCAGGCTCTGGCTATTAATAATGACAAAAAAGTCAAGATTTAGGGTTCAGTTCCAGCTGATTTTATTTCCTTCTCAAAAAAATGTTATTTACAGAAGGTATATATCAACAATCTGACAGGCAGTGGATTGACATGATTAGCTGGCATGATTTTCTTCTTTTTTTTCCCCCAAACTTTTTTTTTTTGTGGCCTTGAATTTTAAGACAAATATTCTTCTACACGGCATATTGCACAGGATGGATGGCAAAAAAAAAAAAAAAAGAAAAAAAAAGAAAAAAAGTTTAAAAACAAAAACCCTTAACGGAACTGCCTTATCAAGGCAGACGTCCTAGTGCCTGTCATGTTATATTAAACATACATACACACAATCTTTTTGCTTATTATAATACAGACTTAAATGTACAAAGATGTTTTCCACTTTTTTCAATCTTTAAACACAACAGCTATAAACCTGAACACATATGCTATCATCATGCCATAAGACTAAAACAATTATATTTAGCGACAAGTAGAAAGGATTAAATAGTCAAATACAAGAATGAAAAACGCAGTACATAGTGTCGCGAACTCAAATCGGCATTTAGATAGATCCAGTGGTTTAAACGGCACGTTTTTGCGTATAAAAAAAGTGCAAAAAAGATGTGGTTTACAAGTTAAAGCTACAGGATCCCT